TTTTCACAATAGACATTTATATACCGTTCGACAGCCCTTTGAAAGAGCTACATTTTGCCCTATTTCTATCTGAAAAAGGAAAAACTTCGATTTTCTGCCTAATGTCTGGCTGTATGCCCACTGTGCGTTGTGTATACAATACGTTAAAGATAAAAGAAGAGAACAACGTAACCATGAGCACAACACACATACACGTGGCCTGTTCTTTCTTTTTCTCACTACGTGTGTGTTATGTAAGTTCAGAAAGATAATATAAAGTATAGCACAGAACAGTCAAGACTCGCGACGCGACGTTTTAAAACTCCTCTACTTAGACCGCAACTCAGCGATAAAAATCGCGATTCGCGACGCTACTACACAAATCTTTTGAAGAAAAGCTTGTTACAACAAGAGCCGTGGCGCGACTAAGCAGAGTACGTCTGTTAAAATTCGCGATCACAACAGTCGCGCCATGACTCTTAAAAACTGCTCTTCTCGCCAGATAAGAATTTTTCAAGATCCCGCCGCGACTTCGCGACTCAATAGCGATGGCGTCGCGATATAGCGAAAACATAGCGTTCACGTCGTGATAGTTAAATCGCGACGTGACTCTTAGAAAAAAGTTTTCAATAAATTAAGACTTTCTTAAGATCTTGTCGCGAAAGCGTGACTTTATAGCGATCACGCCGTGGCTGATGGGAGTTCATAGCGATCGTTATAGCGACAGCGCGATCGCTCCGCGAATGTAGCATGACAGTTGACCTGGGCATAATTCTTTACTATAATTTTTTTATCTTAAACTGCAAATTCAATAGTCATTTTTCAGTTATTTTACAATATCAGAGCTGATGTCAGAGCAAAATAACACGTCAATATTTCATACAATAAATCCAAAACACGTTTGGGCTGGTGACCACATTTATATTTGGAGTTCCCCGATACATCAACATCATGGTATTGTGCTATTTGTCGATAAAACTGATTTCGACCAATCTCAAGTGCTTGAATTTAACACACCCGATGGAAGTTTAAAAATAGAACGAGCACAAATTCAAGTTGTCTCACTCAAACAATTTCGAAAAGATAAAAAATTAAAACGTGTTATTTATGGATCAAAATATCACAAATTTAAAATAGCTGGTACAGCTTATGGATTTCAATCGTTGCCACCGGAACACGTTGTAGACAATGCACATTTAATTCTTGAACAAATTCAGTTCGAAGGTTATATCCCAGAAACACGATTTGACGGTCATTATGATTTAATTCTAAAAAATTGTGAATGTCTGGCATACTGGTGTAAAACTGGAATGTGGTATTCCAGTCAAATCGAACAAGTCGTACATTGGATTGGTAAACCGTTGCTAAGTTTTATTAAAGGAATTATTGATATAGCAGTGGCAAATTCTATTATTCAACCACTTAAACAAGAAGCACTAAGTGAAATAGTCGAATCATCATTGTGTTTGTTTAATAATAAATTTTGTTCAACTTTATTTGCTGAAGGTATTGGAAATGCAATTGCAGTCGTGATTATTGAAGTCTTTAAACTATATTTTCGAGCAAAACAATATAACAATGGACAAATGTCAAAAGAAGAATATTGGACGAAAACATTAACAAGTATAATTACTGCCGTATCGATCGGTGCTTGTTCTTTTATTATACAAGCTTTACTCACATATTTCACGTTTGGATGTGCCACAGCTTATCCATGGATTGGAGGTTTTGTCGGATCTTTAATCGGCTCATTAGTTGGTGACATTCTTGGGAAATTATTAGTCGACGGTATTCAACTAACTCATAAAATGCTTTCTGACTAAAATCTGTTCGATCATGAATATCGTTAGATTCGAAGTAGTTGATGTATATCTTTATTGATTCTGATAAAGAAAAGGTCAGCGGTCAAAGACCATTATGGACCTAACAATAATAAAGATGTTGTCCGTAGGTGCCCACAGAAGGGAATTATGGATAAGAAAAAAAAGAGTAACAATATAAAAAACTAAGAAGTCAGGCCAGACGACAAGGAAAGGATGAATATCATAAAATTGGAAACTGAAAACTACTATGTCTGCAGTTATTCAAATCTGTTCGTTTGCTGAATATACAAGAGGACTGCATCC